CAGGATGACGAACGTCCATCTCGTTACGAAATCGATTTACACGCCTCCGACCTTGATGCACAGAAAGTCTCGAGTAATCTGCTTCAATTTTCCAATCCGACTCCAACCAATAATCAACGTGAGAAAGTGGCATAAAATCAGAATGATATTGTTGTCTATAGGTCACAGTAGTGTACACAATACTTACAATGGTATTATTTTAATACGTAATATATAATAAGGGTTAAATATAAAATTTAAAAATAATACGTAAATTTTAACATATATATTTTAATTAAATAAATTAATACATAATATATAATAAGGGTTAAATATAAAATTTTACAAAATAAAGGATATAAATAAAAATGAAAATGTAAGTTGGAGGGTAAAAATTGTAAATTTACAAAATCAGATTTTTTTAAATGAGTGAGTCCCACACAAACTAACCTATTTCTACCAATAAAACTAAAACTAACCTATTTCTACAAACCTTTTTCAAAACCAACCCATTTTTGCAAAAAACTCTAATTCTCTACTCATAATTTTTTTTTCATCATCAACCATATACAACTTTTTCATACTTCTTACATATATGACATTCGGTTTATTTTCTCAATTTATATATATATGTTCACAGTTACTGAACATATATACGAATGAGTTATATACAGATGTGAATAGATTGAAAATATGTGTATATGAAGTGCGTACGCGATAGTGTAATAGTCTGATGTATATATTAATAGAAATTCAACAATCATATTAAATCTAAGAAATAAAATGTTATCGGGTTGGATTGAGTTCAAATAATAGTAACTCAATATCAACCCAATACGTACGGCTTGAAAATTTTACAACTCGATTAAATATCGGGTTTCTTCGGGTTGAGTTATTTTGCATTGGGTTGGGTTGGATTGGATTGATTGGGTTGGTCGGGTTTTTGAGCACCCCTAATATCAAGTGTTTGATAAAATACACTTTCTTAAAGTCGACATCAATATTAGAACAAGCCTTTTAATGGTGTATTTTCTTAGGTTTTACAATAAAAAATTTTGTTTTTTTTGGTTTGATCCTATAAATTCGAGTTTTATAAAGTATTTTATTTTCTCAGTTATTTATCTGATGTTTCATTATCTATTAATAAATTTTTATTCTAATTAAGAGTATCAAATTTTCTTTATACAAGAGGTGGCAATTTTGCACTATAAAACAACTGAATTTTACAGATTGAAAAACCTGTCACTTACTGAAATGTATCGGGCATTCATGGATTTCCATAGCTTTTAGGGTGCGTTTGGTTTGCAGGAATGTTTCTAAGGGATTTGGATTTGTAGGAGGGATTTGGATTTGGAGGGATTTGGATTGGATTGAATTTAAAATTCATTCCTGTGTTTGGTTTGCAGGATTTGGATTGGATTTGAAATGAAGCGGGAGGAAGCGATGGGAGGAAGCGCCTAGGATTTGGATTTCAAATCCCACCTCTTTGCAAAGGATTTCCAAATCCTATGTTTAATGGATTTTAATGAAATCCCGGGATTTCAAATCCTGACAATTTGGCAAACCAAACATTGGATTGGAATGGATTTTAAATCCAAATCCCCCCAATTCCATTCCATTTCTGCAAACCAAATGCACCCTTAATGAAATGCATTGGGCCTTCATTACTTTCAGTTGGTGATAAAGGACCGCCGGAGGATGTTTGTATGTATCTTTGAAGTGGCGGTAACATTTATATATATAGAGATGCATTACGTAAAAAAAAGCGATATAAACGGTACAAAAATTGAAACTTCGTATTTTATACGTATATATGCGTACAGGTTTTAACATGTACGCATATTTACGTATATTCACGTACGTTTTACGTACGTATTTTTAACGTAAAACCCATACGCATATTTACGCATCTTCACGTACGTTTTACATACGTATTTTATACGTATATATGTGTACGGGTTAAATCTCGTACGCATATTTACATATCTTCACGTATGTATGTACGTATATATGTGTACGTATGTATATACGTATATATATACATACTTACATTTACGTAAAAAAAAACGATATAAATTGCGGTAACGTATATATATATGCATAATGTAAAAAAAACAATATAAATTGCGGTAACGTATATATATATAGAGATACATAACGTAAAAAAGCGATATAAATTGATTGTGTTTAATGGGTTAAATGTTGTGATTTCATCACTTTGACGTGATTTCATCACTTTGACGTGATTTCATGTTTTGCGATGGTTGATTGTGTTTAATGGATTAAATGTTGTGAGAGTAGAATATATGAAAAGAGCAATGAAAGGGAATGTGTGAAAAATTATGAAATAGAAAGTTGATATTTATAGTGAAATTGGTATTACAAAAAAAGAAAAAAATTAAAAAAAAAAGCCTGGATCGCCCCCGGGGTATATCCGATAACGTGGCTCGCCCCAAGTGGAAAAAAAAAAATTTAATTTTTTTTTTTAAGAAAAAGGCCGGGATTATTTTTGTAAAACCCCTAAAAACTGGTTATTTTGTGTAAGAGGGTTACATAAAATGATTATTTTCATCATTTTCCCTAGTTTTTTTTGTATTTCTTACGTATTAAGTATTATTTTTAACTATTTTATTTGAAGATTGAATATTTGCAAGTTTTATTTTTTATATTAAAAAGTCTTAAAAAATCACATGTGTTACCTGAAAATTTAAATTGTCATTCAAAATTATTTTCTTTTCGAAAACATCAAATAGGTCTTTTTTTTACATTTTTTAAAATTTTATTTATTTTATTTTATTGTTTTTAAACTTTCATTTTACTGTTCTCAAAAATATTATTTTTATAAGATTTGTGTACTTTAATTAATTTATTATATATTAATAATAAAAAAAATA